GAGGCCCCGGTGCACTTGAGTCGTCAACCCTTTTGGCAGACTCATTTTCGCAGGTGGGAGCTGCCCCATCAGCAGGACGCTGCTGAATTTTTGCATGACGCTGGCCCGCAGCTGATTCAGCCAGATATCATAGGGGAATGGGAAACTAGGCTACTAAATACCCCACCCAGTGCATCCAGTCACACGTCCGACCCCAGGGATGGCAGATATGGAATTGGACATACTCTGCCCGTGCTGATAACAGCTGCGCTTGCCTCAGACAGCCGCTCTCCTTGCACACTTCAGTCGCTTGTTGAACAATGGCATATTCAATCTTGGCATGGAATCGAAGAAGGCAGGACGGCCATCAATGGTGGCCCTGAGCTGCTAGTGCTGCAGATCGCCCGCTTCAATGATATGGGACACAAGGTTATAGGGTTAGTCCAGCCAAGCTCTCCACTTCAGGTTCCGGTCTTCAGCGATACCCACCTTACTACTTCGGTAATGCCTGCACCATACGAGGTAGTCAGCATTGTATTTCATGAAGGCCACACCTCCAGAAGCGGGCACTACAGGGCAGCTCTGCTGACGAACGGAGTCATCACGCACAGCACCGATGACGGTAGATCAGCCAAGCCGGCGAGCTCAGAGGAGGTCGTGCACATAAACAATAACTCATATTTGTTCTTTTTACGAAGGCTCCATTGATCAGCAAACCCTTTTAATCAGGTCACAATACGTCACCTGGCCATTTTCAGCTGAGCAGTCCGAGGGATTATTTTCATCATTATGGTCATCTTCCAAGAGGGTCAGCTTTTGAATTTCGGATTCTTTAACCAAGTGGTCGCTTGCTTATGGGCCCCACGGGGCGGGGCGACCACTAGAAAGAAGGACTGCTGTAGGCTCTGGGGAGCGAAACAGCTGCGTTCTAAACGCCGGTGGCAATGCCACTGCCCGAAGACCGCATCGTGAACTCTTTCACGGCGAGAGAAGAAGAATCATCATCATCATCATCATCATCATCACCGTCATCATCATCATCATCATCATCATCATGACCATCAGCATCATCACCGTCATCGTCATCATCACCATGCCCCGTACAGTTTGATCTACTGATTCCACACAGGTAACATGCTAGCAACAGCTGCAGTTTCGGGTGAACAGTTTTTTCGGTACGGGGATGATAGCCACGTGAACAGAAGTACGACGGACAAACGAGGTTGAGGGCGTCTTGGGGCCTTCAAGGTTCCGGATCCTGGATGGACCCCTAAACCCTAAAGCCTTCTTAGTTCTTCCAGATGTCAGTCACGGAGCGTTGTATCATGTCATGTCCAGCTCGAATAGCTCGGGGCCAAGATCCCTAAACCCCTAAACCCTAAACCCCTAAACCCTAAACCCCTAAACCCCTAAACCCCTAAACCCCTAAACCCCTAAACCCCTAAACACAATTCTGCCGAGGCTTCCGACGAGGACTTGGACACGGAGTCGCCTGGGCCCTGGTGAGGGTGGTGCCAGAGCTAACGTAGGGTCCCGTGTGGATTCCCTGGTTGCTTCCTGGGTGGCCCAGGGGGCTGCACTGGTCCTGGAGCCAGGGCCGTCAAGGTAGGTACGAAGACGGTGAGGGTCTGGAGTTCAGGGACACCCTCGTGCCTGTATAGAACCCAAGTACAGGCTCTATAGAACCCCTGATAGAACCTCAACTAAAGCCTTGTAGAATCCTAAAAGCCCCAGAGGCATATGCCTAACCAGAATGCTTGAAATCCCAAGATCAAACTTTCTAAGATTGCAGGGCCTAGCCCCAAACCCTAAAACCCTAAAGCCCTAGCGCCCTAATTTTAAGCCCACCCAACATCAGATCTGAAGTCGGCATATCTTATCTTTTGGGGAAGATCTCAAACCTTCTGACCGTCGGCCCATAGCGCTAGCATGCCCTGCTACTGCAGTCCATGATTTTTGAGGCCTCTGCGAATCCTCCTCCTTCTCTCATCTCCTAAATTCGAACGAAGAGCTTCCCAAGAGACTTGTCGAGGCCTGTGGTGGCCGTGGGCTCGGCGAACAGTGGCATCAAGATGCTGAGAACCTACACCGATGAGGACCGATTGCGGAGGGGGATCTCACAAAAGTAATTTGGGTTCAGGGCTTCAGGAGTTGGGATCTAAACCCTAAACCCTAAACCCTAAACCCTAAAGCTCCTAAACCCTAAACCCTAAACCCTAAACCCTAAACCCTAAATCGAATGATTTCGATTTAGGGGTTGAGACTTTGGGGGTGCAAGGTTCTGGGTTTGGAGTGCCTGAGGCTTTATAGATCTGAACCCCCGCGGTTCCCAAAAGCACCGGGTAATGTAGGGGTCGGGACAATTGAGAATAGTATCCTTATAGCTAAAGTTGAAGTACCCCAACCCCCAAATCAAAATTCTAAGGCCTCTGTATCCACAGACCCGGTACCTGTGGACTATACCTTCTGTTCGAATTTCGCATTCTGATCGTCGTCCAAGTCGCCCAACTGTCCCTCCTCTCATCCTGATCGTCGCCGTCTAGGGTTTAGGGTTTGAGGTTCAGGGTTTCGGGTGTCCTGCGTGACGATTCTCCCTTCTAGGATGATCGTAGGTATCATTATTCTGGAGACTTTTTTTAAATAACTCCTCTTTGCATGGAAGCTCATTCGGCTGTTGCCACTGTCACGCTTTCGATGTACTTTGCTGCCATCATGTTTTGTAGCACTTCTGTCATTCATTCTCGTTCGCACTAATCCTGTCATCCATAGTGGCAAAGATTGGTCATGCTGTTGCTGCTGCCGATTGCTACCGTGGTTCGATGAGCAATAAACTTAAAGCAGCTATATACTGCTGCTCCTGATGCTATGCTGCATAGATGAGCAGCCGTGCGAGTCGAGCAGCATCTGCAGTCATGCAGGACATGGCAAATCCAACGAGAATGGGCTTAGGGTTTAGGGTTTAGGGTTTAGGACGACGACGAGATGACATGGATGACTCGACACATCGCGATGATGCTCATGATTCTTATTTCCGCGATCACATGTGAGGAACGAAAATTATATGGTACTGAACTATGCAAAACGATGCAAAACGATACTAAGCTATATTTGACTATACTAAGCTATGCTAAAACCATACTACACTATATGAACATATGCTAAGCGAAACTAAGCTTTACTGTGCTATACTCTGCCACAGAAATGACCAGAAGTGGTAGACCCAGAGGACCCAATACCCCTTAAATAAGGACTATACCTGAAACCTAAATGCTTAAACCCAAACATTGAGGCCCCCGCATAATTCAAGGTATATTCCTTAATTAAGGGGTATTGGGTTCTCTACAAAAAGCTCGGAGGACTTGGATCGACAAGTCGCCTCGAGAACTTACCACGAGCAGCTCGCGGAGCAGGTCTGCTCTAGGGCAGCCTCGTGTTTAGGGTTTAGGGTTTTTTGGTGATTTCAAAATCTAGTGCAGTATAGTCTAGTGAAGTAGAGTAGAGTATCGTATGGTATAGTATAGCATCGTATAGTAAATACAATAGAATAGAATAGACCGGTTGTTTCAGGCTTCTTCAGGAATTATTTTGCAGCGTCTGAGGTATTTTTCGCTGGACTTGATGGTTTTGGAGCAGGTGCACTGATCATCACAGGTCGATAAGTTTTCTTCGATCGCGTCCTACGCGTCTTGCTGCTTACAGGTTTCCGGGAGGATCGTAGGCCGAAGAACCGTGATGCAATGTTGTTTGCCCCCAGGTGCATCCTAGAGCTGCTTACGGCTCAATTGCTTCTGCGGTGCAGAACTCATCTTGCATAAGCCAACCAACTCAGTAAGAGAATATACCCACTAGTCGAGAGAGCACATGACTGCGCCTACTATAGGGGCCTGAATAAGCAGAGAAGGGTTTTGGGGTATATTTTACTATAATTGTAAAACCGCACGAGGTTCCCGA